CTGTAAATCATTGAAAAATATTGAAAAAAATCACAAAGTTCTTATCGCCATTTTCGAACGAACTAGCCCATACAATGAATATATTTCTGCGTTCCCCTATACATAACCTTCATCTTGACACTATATTTAACATAGGGTTTGCGTCTAGATTTTTATATATCACTACGCCAACATAGGGACTCATTTTCAGGTAAAATCCCTGCTTCACCGATGAAAATTAACGAATAAAGTAGTTCCAGTTTACGGGACTATATTCTTGCGATTTTTTTCTTAAAATGGCACATTTAGAAAGTACTTGGCCTCAGCTTTACATACATACCTCAAATGGCCACAGTGCATACACTTAAACCTACTATACAGAATACACACCATTGAAGTTGGCATGCATTCGTTTTTAAAGTATTAAAAAACACTACCCGGAAGTGCTATTTACCGGAGTGACACCTTGGGCAAGCACTATTCATATTTGCGCATGCGCAGAAAAATGATGTCTAAAAAGTAAAAATTTTGTTTGACTCAATTGTTTGTTTGACTATTATGTGTTATTTCCATGTAACTGATGTATTCAAAGACTAAGCTTAGAAGAACTTAGTCTATCTACAGAAGCAGCCTTACAATGGTGGGGGTTGAAATGGAGCAGGGAGCATTGTACTCTCCGGTGGTAAGTTGCTGTAATCTAGTTCGGGACATAAATAAATGACAGGTGGATTTGCTGAAGTGAGAATTTCCCATTTACCTGATTACCTGATTACCAATGGTTCTGGAAAGAGGATAGTCCTATTTAATCCAGATCGTGTTTTTGTTTCACATTACTAGTATGAAACAATCTAATCAACGAGAAAGCGCTCCCCCCGTGGGCCCTGTGTTTCATCAGTCATCAGTGTTCTATACATGAACATCTCATCCTTCAGGAAGCTGTCAATCTCTCTCTTGAACTGGTTTGTAGTTTCACAATCAATTATATGTTGGGGTAGTGCATTCCAGCTTTGTGCTATTCTATTCCCAAAGCAATTTTTGCGTAGGTTAAGTCTGCTGTGCCTATGCTGTAGTTTTGTTGTGTGGCCTCTTGTTCTTGTATTGGTCGAGATCTTTGCAATGTCGTTAATGTTTAATCTGTCTAGTCCCTTAGCGATTTTGAACATCTGTATGAGGTCCCCTCGTTTTCTACGATACTGGAGTGATGGAATCCTCAGTGCTCTCATACGTTGCTCGTAGCTCAAGTTTTTTAAACTAGGGACAAGTTTGGTTGCTCTCCTTTGTACTTTCTCTATCATATCCTGATCGAGGGCATATCCTGGTCCCCATGCGCTATTGGCATACTCTAGGTGTGGCCTTACAAGTGCTAATATACAATAGGGGAAGTGTTGTTTCATCTATATATTTAAATGTTCTTTTTATTAGACCTACCATCCTGTTGGCCTTGGATGATGTTAATCTTGTATGTTCGTGGAATTTCAATTTATTGTCTATATTGAGGCCTAGGTCCTTCTCAGTTTCTGTGTCTTGAAGAACTGTATTGTTCATTACATATTGTTTATTCACATTTTTAGTTCCCATGTGCATGGTTTTACATTTGGAGGAGTTGAATGGTAGTTGCCACTTCTGGGACCATTGATCTAAGGCATCAATATCTCTTTGCATTTGGTTTCTTTGCTCAGATGTTCCGACTTTCCCCACAAGTTTTGTGTCGTCAGCATACATAAATATTTTATTTACAGTCTCTTTTGGCATGTCGTTAATAAATATGGCGAATAGGGATGGCCCAAGGCAGGTCCCTTGAGGTATACCAGACTTTACAGGTGTCCATGGTGATGTATCATTGTTTACTGTTACCCTTTGGAGCCTTCCTGTTAGGAACGAAGTTATCCATCTGTGGACATTTCCCTGTATGCCATATGCCTCTAGTTTGTGTAGTAACCTTGTGTGGGGCACGGAATCAAACGCTTTACTAAAATCTGTGTAAATGCTATCTACCTGTTCCTCTTCGTCTAGTATTCCTGTGATTGTTTCCAAGTAGGATAAAAGTTGCAACACGGTGGATCTGCCAGGGACAAATCCGAACTGGTCTTCAGTGAGTAAGTCGTTATCTTGGAGGTGCTTAACTACAGCGTCACGAACGATCCTTTCTATAATCTTGACTACAATTGATGTTAAGCTTACTGGTCTATAATTAGCTGGAATCTTCATTGCTTCCGATTTTCGAAGTCCATTTTTGGCACTGTTGGTTTTGAAGATTGGAGTTATGTTGGCATTTTTCCAGCCTTGTGGAATCTCCCCAGTTTATGTTAAAAATAAGAGAATTTTCAAGAGGCCATACATCAGTGGATGAGATTATACAAAATGTGAAATATACAAATTTTAAGGGATATGTGTCTAGACAATATTGGAAATTATGGGCTTTCAGACGACCATAATTAGGAACGAAGTGTCTGGAGTAGCCCTACCTTAAAATTTAAGGCTCTTTAAAATTTAAGGCTATTTAGCTGTGAACATAGTGTTTTGGCTAGAGAGCCTTTGTGTTTATAATCCGTGTTTATATTGTTTTTTATTGAAGTTTTCGTCATCTAAACAATAAAACAACACTCTCGAAAGTTTTTCAACCCAGAATGCCACTTAAAAATTTCACACATGTATATCACTATAGAGTTGCAAAAGAATCAGCCCCATCATGGAAAAACAATCTGGTATAGTGGTTAGGGTGCTCGCTTTCCACTTCTGCGGCGTGGGTTCGATTCCCCGATGGAGCACTTTTTATTTTGAATACATGTTACATGGTAAGAAGTTTTAGAGCTGATCAACTTTGCGGCGGCCATCTTGCATTATGGTGGCCATCTTGGAATTTTTTTCAGATAAATATTGTCAACGCGATTCCACAAAAACTACGTAACAGATGTACTTCACATGTTCACACATGTAACATGGTAAAAAGTCCTAGACCTCATTATTTTTTCGGTGGCCATCTTGCATTCTGGCAGTCATCTTGGAAGTTTAAAGATAAATCTTGTCATCACAATTTCAGGAAAACCAAACGGATTTACTTCAAATTTTCACACATATTACATGGTAAGAAGTTCTAGAGCTAATTAACCTTTCGGTGGCCATCTTGCATTCTGGCGTCCATCTTGGAAGTTTTTTGGATAAATCTTGTCATTGTGATTCCAGGAAAACCACTTTACTGATTCTCTTGAAACTTTTACACATGTTACAAGGAAGGTTACATGCTACCTTTTATATTGATATAAACAGGGGCAAAAGGCAGTAAAGTGGGGTTACACAAGGTGGTATTCTAAGGAGAATGTTATCTATTTTTCTGTATTTTAAACCACATAATTTGACATAAATGCATATTTGGTGTATGATATCATGTTTTATATTGATAGAAACATGGGCGCTACAATGGGGTAACACATGGTGATATTCTAAAATACATATTTTTACTCTGCTTCTGTACTTTATACCACTTGAATGCATTTTGTGTATGACATCGATTGATTTTTAGAATAAATAACTACATTTCATCAAAAAGAAAAAAGATGATTGAAAACATCAAACATTTCTTTGAAATCCATTATTGCACAGTGATTTTTGAGAGAGAAATGTATGCTAAATTGGCCTTGATCTGAGTATATAATGGAATTAAAGCTCTTTTAAACGAAAATGTAAATGTGTGGAAAACCTTTCACTGTGCATCATGTCAACGAAATGTTCTTCATGCAGTTGAATTATCTTCTGGACAGGTGATCACACAGAAGGAGAGACCTGCGTATCATATCCTTACTAAATATAAACAAAAATGACAAATGAGAAAGGAAAAAAGTGTAAAGCAACCTAGTGGGAAAAGCAAACTGTAAAGTGTAAAACTGGCAAACAAAAATCAAACCTGAATATCCCAAGACAATAATCTAATATGGGAATAAACAGCATCCACACCGTTCAATGACTAATTCCTCATCAACGACCACAACTCCGAGGGACATTCCATTCATACTGAAGTCATTAAAATACATGTTGAAGAAAAATTGAAAATAATGATATCCAATACTCATAAGATCAAAAATAGTTGTAGATACTATAGTACTCATAAAAGCTGCAGATAACGTTTCTTCATCGGGAAAGCAAGCTGTCTCTTAGTCAGAGCACCAGCATGTCAAACTATGTGAATGGGCTCTGTATCCACAATGTTGCGAGTTCGAGACACATGTGCTCAAAAATCACTTAAACCTGCACTAAAACTGTGTGTCAGATCGATATAAGTATGGAATGTACTAAAAACCCTTCGACCCTACAACCTACGACTGACAGGGTGTCAAGAATTTTTGGAATATATTTTTATAAAAACCCTGTGACCTTCAATTTCTCAGTCCATATGAAGTTGCTGGAAATATTACTATGTTTATAGAACTTCAGAATCGGTCCCTGGGGAGTGTAAGATATTTGTTGTATTCAAGCACATATTTTTGAATGTGAACGTTTCTTACCTCCTCAGTAAAAATATTTGTGCTTTTCCCATCACATTGTAACAGTGGAAGGAAAATCGCCATTCAGGGGGTCAACCCAGTTGTCCGAAACCCAGTTCTCCGAAACCCAGTTGTCCGAAACCCAGTTCTCCGAAACCCAGTTTTCCGAAACCCAGTTGTCCGAAACCCAGTTCTCCGAAAATTAGGGAGATCTTATTTGAAAAATACAATTTTTTTAAACGAACCTCGTTGTCGCAACCTCTGCGAATCACAACATAACATTGGAATAACGTTGACATTGCAAAATTAGGCTAAATATGCTAAGTCAAGACGTTAATTCTTTAATGTTTAGCCTACGAAAGTTCATATACAGGTGATATAGATGTTCAAACAAACAAAGTTAAATTATGTTATTCTCATTGTAAAATAACGTTTACACAACATACATAGGGGTCTACAATTTTTAAACCAATTTTCTTTATGGCCCATGGGCCTTCTTTGAGAGGGAACAACGTTTTTCCAATGGGTGATGGGCGTTCATAAAAGGAAAAATAGCTTTCCCAAGCCAGTGGGCATTTATTTAGTAAAGTTAACATGTACATCTTTTGAAACCAAAACTTATTCTTCACTTACGTACTCTGTTCGAGAAATAGAGATTAAATTAAAAGGATGAAGTGAGTACATGGCGAATATGAAACTTCTTGCGAATGGGAGAACATCCATTTTGATACGAGGACAGCCTGCCTTCGTTTCCAGTTGATCCCAAGTGATTAAGTTAAGAATGTTTTGTTCTTTTACGATTTGATAAGATACAGAGACTAAGAAATTAAATGCGACGAAATATTTTGACAACGTAATATGTATACTGTTTTATTCTTAAAGTACTATATGCGTAAACTTATTTTATCTGTTTCAAAATGATTCATTTTATTTTGCCTACATGTATATAAAAGAGATTGAAGAAGATAAGATAAACTGTTCCGTAATATATATTGTGTTTTGATAACCTTTTTTTAGATTCACAATGTAAAATAAATTACCCGTTCCTGCCATTCTGGTAACGCGTGCAATGGATGCAATTCAAAGTGAGAGAGAGATCTATGAACATCAGAATGCGTCCATGCCATTAATTTGGCCAAATACATGGCATGAAACTGGCCTAAGCTTAAGTACGTCTCCCCTTTCTCTGGTAAATTATGACTTT